ATCTTAATTTCCTGTTACAAAATGAAAGGAGAATCTTAAGATAGAACCCTGACCTTAAATGATTAAGTGTCACAGACTCTATTGTATTAATTGATTTTTAAACCTCTCTTAATCTTTCCTTTTCATTCCTTTGAACAACTGATGGCTATGATTTTTATGCCCTGTTGATTTTTTATTGTTTATAAAATCTTAGTTCAAAATTGCGACGTGCTCTGGAAATTAGAACACTTTTTTTTTCTCTTTGAGCAGCTGGTGACTTTAATTTGTCATGCCATTTTGATTCCTTAATTAATAATAAAAAGATCACATCTAAAAGTCCTGACATGCTCTGTGAATTTGAATGATTGGTGAAATGCAAGAAGGAAATATTCTGGTTATCTTCCTCTCTCCAGGAAAAGTTGATATTCCTTGGAGGATGGTCATCCATTATTGGTTGTCTTTCACATTACTTTCTCGTCTAAGATTTTAGATTTTCTTCACAGACACTGTTTCTGTTGCAAATGACTGTCTGAATCAAAGATATTAAGCACTTTTCTCTAACTGATGCACAAAAAAAAAAAAAAAAAAAATTTGAATTGCAGATATCGACCAACTTACATATTTCTCAAATGTTATTTTCATGCTTGGGCATTGAAAAAGTTTCCCAGGAATGATTTTTTTCCTCCATGCACTCTTGGGAATGTGTAAGAATATGGTTGAGTGTTTGGTAGGAGTTTTTGCAACAGATGTCTTTCTGATGGTGAACACGCTCGGATCCCATTCAAAATTCAGCCAACCTTGCACTGGAAGTCTTACTGCTGTCAGCTGCAAAGGTCACTTACAGTTGTGGGCAGTACATTGTTAAAGTGTAATTTTACATTTAAACTGAAGAGAATTCATTTGCAGAATGTAAGTTTTCATCCTTGAAGTTTGTGATGAAAAAATCTACGTTAAGGTAATGCCACACATATTATACTCTAGCAGGAAAAAAAGTAGACAGGTCTACATATAAAAAAAGAACAAAACAAACAAACAACTTCCTGCACCAAGTACAACAGCTTTTTACAGGTAAACTTGGCATACCTGAGAGATGCTATCCATGTTTCATAGTAGTTCTGTGGAAGTATTAATCACCTGTGGGTCCTCTGGGTTAACTAAAAATATGTCGGATCAGTACTTTGTGATGATTGATGACCATGTAATGAATTGAGATATATGTGCTGCACCAGAGCGATTCTCTATCACTTAACTGTTGATGCTTGGGGTATTTTTTTATCACCTAAAGTTTTTTTTTTTTTTTTTTTTTTTTTTTTGATGCCTTGAACTATGTTCATTGGTATTATAGATGTATTACTGTAATATTCTATTAATACTGAAATTGTCATTTGACTTTTGAATAATTTAATCCGTCTTCTTTGAATGAATAATGATGTTGTAATAGGTGTTTACTTTCTGATAGAAGTGGTAAGTAATAGTGTCTATGTCAGATGGAGAATATGAAACATAAATAAATTTAATGAGCACAAATAATCTTTGACCGTTATTAAAGTTATATTTTGTATCTGAACCAATTTCAAATGTCAAAATTTATCCTAAGATCATTTCTGCAGGGAAGTTCAAGCCTTGATGAAAAGTAATGTTTTCTGCTTTTTAAGATTTTGGTTTATTATTACCAGCACTTGCTTGCATTACAAGACGCTTCAAAATTAGATGTGTAAATAAAGAAGATATAGTTTGAAAGCCATTATTTATTATAATTTTAATTTGGAATAAATCAACCGAGCAGTACTTTCCAGACAGTCAGAAGTGCTGCAAGCTCTCAGGGCACTTAATGGACTAGTCAACCAGACAAGTATTGCTTTTTCAAGAAATCCCAGAAGTAATATAGCTTAAGACTAATGTTTTCCCAAAGCTGATATTTGAACATCATTTTAACCCTCTGTGTACTTAAGGCATCTTTTTTTTCTCTCCAGGAAGTTGTGTTAATTTATTATAAAGTAGCTGCTATATAGACAATACATTTGCTTGAAGTTAGTTAAAAGCATAGAGTGTTTTTATCTTTTGAAACATCACTGAATCAGAGACTAGCTTTGAGATGTGTGATGGGGATTTTATTACAGAAAGATCAAAAGCTATAAGATAAGATTGATTTTCCTTTGTTTCTTTTCATTTTAATCTTTGATATTTTTTTGTAGTTTACCTTTTAAGGGTTGAGATGCGGGGATTCCATAAAGCTAAATGAAACTAATAGACATGATTTTAATTAAAATTATAAGCTTAAAGCCTTGCAGGTGGGACATCAATGATTGGATCTTAATGAAGCCCTCGTGATCATTAAACCTGGTCATTAATTGTATGTAATGCTGGCTTAAAACGTGTAGCTATGGAAATGGTACAAAACAATGGGAAGATTGAGACGGGGCATTGTAGTAGTGAAAATAGAAAAAAAAACACTAGAGATAGTTTCAGGATGGTCTTGCCTGGTGATAAGTCAGTTCTTTTATTTTCTGATTTATCAATATAATTATTTTATTTCATAACTTGGCAGCAGTGGCTAGTTAAAACTTTCTAGTAGCTGATTTTTATAAAAAAAATATATCTGGTAATCTCACTTTCAAGACATAAATTCACAAAGCTCTGAGAATTTGATAGATTTAGTCATGGAAATGTACACTCAATGCTGACAAACATTTTTCATTTAAGTGGTCAAATTTAGATGGTCTTTCTCAAGTTTGACTTTTTTATTATTTTTTATCACAGCTGATCATCATGTTAAAATAATCTTATCACCATGGGTTTTCCTTAATAGGCTGGTAATAAATATAGAAGTCAAGGATATATATCCTTCCTCTTTCATACCGATAATTTTATCTTTATACACCTTGAAAGGCAACACTTAATATATTAAACCATTCTATAGAATGTCAAAGAAATTTCTGGCTCTTTCACAGTCTAGGGATATGATAAACTGATAAAAAGTAGGCAGGAAGTTGGAAAGCACATATTTAAAAAAATTAAAAATATTGGTCAAAATGGGGGCAATAAAACAAGAATGAGAGCTTCCATAATGCTTGGTTATCAAATATTACAGTTGGGTTTTAAAGCCTATCTTGGTAAACAGAGGTGTGCTTTGTAGTGAGTCACCATTCTCTGATAGTGAGAAATAATTTATTAGTTTCGTTTCACCATCTATATACTAGTATTATGGTTGAAAATTAGTTGTGTTTGCCAGTAGAGGTTTTATCTAATCATAATTATGCCATCTGATTACGATTTACTCACCAAAGGCAGCAAGTCTAATCAGTCTATCAACCCACCTTTGTGATAATAAAGTACTAAGTGTTGCGATCTATCAACTAAGATGGATGAAGTTGACAAACCCACATATACCAGTAACACCAGTGATTTCTTGAAATGCTGTTTGTTTGTAGAAATGAACTTTTACAAATATAGTTTTCCAGTCAGGATGAGGTGAAATTACTAATTTTCCTTTGATGTCAGATTATGTATTTATTTTCCCCTTAAAAACTTTGACTGTATCAGTGAGATAGTCTTAAGCCTCAGGCATATGGACCAATATGAAAACTGATTCACCAACTTAAGAATTAGATTTGAAGGTTGTGATCATTAGTTTGTAATAAAAATGAAAAGCATTTTACACTTGCAGAGGTTTTAGCTTTGAATGGTATATAAGATATTTCTCTCAGTTACAGTATATTTATGAATTGTATTGATATTTCAGTAACTTAACAAGATAACCCAGCTGTATCAGTATGGTTTGTTTTATTAAAGTGTCTAATAAGCTGAGATGGGCTTGAATATATTACCACAACCAAACAAACAAAAAAAAAAAATAAAAGTCCGTCTGTGTGGGTTTTAGATTTGAGTCTCGAGTCTAGCGTGTACACAAACAACTTCTTTGTGTGGAGTTGTATTTTCATAACCTGTGATGACAAAAGTCCCATTTGTGCGAACCTGTAAGCATAATTAAGTCTCAATTCAACTGCGAGCTGTTATTTGAGTTGCTCTGGGCCTCAAGTTTACAAAGCCAGGCACAGCAGAATATTTGCAGAACCTTATACTGATGTTAGTTTGAATTTGAGGCCCCATTTTCACACACACCTTTAGTCTTTGTGGATCGACCCAACTTTGTGAGGACTCTCGCTGACTGGAATTAGCTTAATTTAATGGCACGCTGCCTCGTAGCATAGCAGAATACAAAAATTATAGTGATTTTACCAGTATGTTAGAAATAAGAGGTGTGTCATTCAGTTAAGCTGATTGCACTTTATGAGTTTTGCAGAGTTGGATCAATCCACGTAGACCAATGATGTCTATGGGAATGGAGTCTGAGTCTCCAATAACTGAAGAATAAGCCCCAGACGTGCATATTTAATGTTCTTTGGTAAATTTAAAGCCCCTTTCAGGCTGCAGAATTCTTACATTCTTGGAATACTGTTTGTGAATATTAAGTGGCATTTGATGAATTGAGGATAGAATTTGTATCCTTAAAAGTCTTATCAGGGTTATCTTGGGTTATATGTGGGACCTTTCAAGTATTGTTGGGAAGGAATTTTGAAATTATTTTGATTACACACGTATACATAACAAGCACCTGATTAGCTTGACAATGTTGAGAATATGCTGCTAGGTTTAAGTTTTGTTGTGGCCACTGTCACTGTGTAGTTAAGATAAAAGCAAACTTTTTCAAGATGGAATGATTCTGTTGCTCTCTATTTCCCAATCTTTCCTTTGTTTTAAGATTTTATTTATTTAAGAACTTTCATTTTGGATGCCCTTTTTCTGGAATTTTTTGGGGAAATCAGAAATATTTCTGAATGCATATGACAGATCTTTTAGGTAATTCTGCTCTTACAAGGATTGAATAATTTGTATGATCTTATTTAATCTATTTAAAATGTTATTTATATTTTAATGCACTTTTTGTAAACATGACAGTAAATGATGTATCCTGAGTATAATTTTTTTTTCATGCAATGTTAATATTATTACTATTTCAGCTACGGATCTGATCGCAGTTAGACTTAACATTGAAAACAGAAATGACGAAGTTCCTGTGTTTGTCAACCAGCCGACCAAGTTTCTGACCACTATAAGTCAAAACCCTGCCTTAAACTCCAAGGTCTTTGAGCTGAATGCTGTCGATGCTGACCCCAATTCTCTGGTCAGATACTACAAGATAGGTAAAGAAAGATGCTTCATGTTACAGCACCATCTGGTTCATTAATGCGACACACAGATTATGACCATAATTGACAGCTTGCCCTCCAAGTTCAGTTTAGTGCATTGGTTCTTTGCTTTACATGTGTCCTTTTCTTAATATCAAAACAAGAGCAACTAAATTTATGACTTTTTAAATGGACTGCATGCAGATGCTACAGTGGTGGAATATATGTTTGTCAAAAAAAATGTTTGTCCAGGGAATAGAAACCATTTTGTCAATTTTGGGAAAGTTGTATGGTAAATTTTTGATGCTGTCTCTGTGTATAATGACCCTGCTGTTGTATATAAGGTACCAAAAATACATTTTTCCCAAATTAAAGCTTTATCCATATTGATACAGACCCTTATTCAAAGTACAGTAATTACTGCATTCAAAACCAATAATCTAAAGCAATGGCATTAAATGTTGTATTTCATACTTGTATCCCTGTAGGAGGTGACGATGAATTTGCTGTGCAGGAGACAACTGGAATAGTTAGCAACACTGTCACAGCATTGAATAGTGGTCAGGAGTACGAGATTCTTGTCCAGGCGCAAGATATCAGTGCCAATCCACCCCAGGTCAGCGAGTCAAAAAATCTGCGTATTTTCGTTGGGGAGTTGCCGCCACAATTCTTTGAGGAATCGTACACAATGGATTGTCCTGAAGATGCTAATAGTGGTTACAGGTAAGTATCCCTGCAAGAAAATTGACTCATTTAATGTTCACTTTGGGTTCTCAATCTATTCTAGAACATTTGTTGGATTTTTTTTTTTTTTTTTACAGTTCTAATGTTGTTCTGTAATGAATGTAACATTTGGGGAACTGTTTTTGGGAAGTCCTTCAGAATGTCCTAGAACAGATTAAGAACATTATTCTTTAAAAAAGAAAATCAAAGAATGATTGAGAACTGTAAGTGTCACGTAAGTTTCACAGTGCGTTAAATGAGATGCATTTTCTCAGGGGTTGTCTTTTTGTTTTCTGATCCATTTCATTTAATTGACTGTGCAATGATTTAGATAAAAACAACAACTGTATTTAAGACCAGAGTAACCTGACAAGTATTCGTTGTAAATCACTGAAATTGTATTTTATTTTACATTGAAGATTTTTTAATAAAAATTTCTTTCTTTCTTGACATAGTGTTGGTACAGTAAGAGCCAAATCATTTCAAGGCCAGTCAATCATGTACTCCCTGAAAACAGACACAAATCAGGACTCCGCAGAGTTCTACCTTCACCCTACTGATGGTATCGTCAGCACCAAGAAGGTCTTGGATTACGAAAGGGACCCACATACCTACAATCTGAGAGTTATTGCACAAGAGGGACTTTCTGGCAAAACTAGCACTGCCTCGGTATGTTGAAAAATGTTTGGACAAGGGAACAAGTGTACCATACAAAATGCATTAATAAGTACTTATTTGTAGCTAAAGCACTAAGAAATTCTGTTCCATCCATGATTTTTTTTAAAAGCCAGTGACTTTTTCTGACTCTCTCTCTCTCTCTCTCTCTCTCTCTCTCTCTCTCTCTCTCAGTATTTCCTAGTAAATTTTAATCCACGTTCTTGATTTTAGTTGGTGGTTAATCTCCTAGACAGAAATGACAACAAACCAATTTTCTCACTGGCTGAATATATAGTGCCTACTCCTCTGGCTGAAAATACACCAGTAGGACAGTCCTTTTTTGAAGGTAAGCAAAGGTTATGTGGTTTTCATCACACACACACACACACACACACGTTTGTGTATGTGATATATCGAACATCTAAGGATACTGCAATTTCATATGGAATTGCAAAAGAGTAACATTGTTTTTATGTCCATTTATTTGTTTGTTTAATAATTCATTTTTTGGGAGCAGGTGCATTTTACAAATATGGCACCTCTTGGCATTGCTGTTTTTTATAAATCTTACAAAATGGCTGCACTACACAGCACATATTATAAAATTAAAATATAGCACTCACAAGATTTCTTAGTAATCATGTTTTGTGTTGGTGCCCAAAAGATTTCCTGATGGCTGTGATGCTTTGTCTGTGTTCCATTTCCTTTAAATAATCCTTCTCTCCCTGTACTCAATTCCTATGCGGCCATGCGGCTTTTGATTCATACTTTTTTCCCCCTCATGATGGTCATGCTGCTAATTGCCTGGTTTCCATTCACAGTTGCTGCCCAGGATGCAGACTCTGGCACCAATATGCAGATTACTTATTCCATTCAAAATGCTCTGGATGGAAGCTACTTCAGTGTGTCCACAGAAAACAACAGGGGCATTTTAAGAATAGCTAAGTATGTATCCTCTTACTGTGTTCACAAGTGTTTTTGTGAAGTAAAAACTGTTGGGTGAAAATGTATTAAGAAATGTTTTCACTTGTGTGATTCATATGTGGAATTTTGTATGTTACCAGATAGGAAACACTATTATTATGTTGGAAATTTAATTTAACTACAGTGGGTTTTAATTATAAGCAATTAAAATGTTCACAGTTGACACAGTTTAATATCTGTATTGCAATTTATCGAAATTATGGCATTTAACCTTAGTCATTTCTTTTATGAAGGCCATTGTGAAAAACAAAAATCTTTAAATTTTTCATAATATTCACAGGGAGCTTGACTATGAAAACAAAACGGACCACACATACCGTTTTATCGTCCAAGCCACCGATCATGGAGCGCCTGCGCAGACGGGAACCACAGTAGTGAGGCTCCGCGTGTCCAACGTTAACGACGAACCTCCACAACTGATCCCCAACACACTCTATGTCAGTGTTAATGAAGACTCGGTTCCTGGACCAGACGGAAAACTTGTGACTGTACTGCAAGCCCGAGATCCCGATAATGATGGAATTACTTTTGCTTTTAAAGGTGTGATTTGTTTTGCAAAGAAATATTTATTGCAATATTGTAGGATTCTAGATTTTTATATCACTGTCTTGTAATTATTTTGTTTAGAATTACCTACAGTCTTTCCTTTAAAGCTTTTTTTCCAGACATTTTCAATATTCAGAAATGTTAATTATGAATTTCTGAATAATATTTACTGATAAACGAAGAAATGCTGTTGAATATATTCCTCTATTTTTGCCGTCCTACTTTCAGACCAAAATGGTAATCCAACCAATCAAATAATGCCATTCCGTCTGGACGATAACACAGGGAATATCAGATTGGTTGGTCCAATAGATGCAAACCGAGCCAACTATATCTTGAATGTTATTGCTACTGATGATGGTGCCTGCTGTGGTGGTGGGACTAGACTGACCAGTGAAGGAGTGGTCATTGTCGAAATCCTGGATGTTGTCAACTCAAAGCCCGATTTTCCAGACTGCGCTTCAATGAATCCTTCAATCGTTGAGAGCGCTCCCCCATCTACTTTTGTTTATCAGGTAAATGTTTTTGTTGAAGGTTCAATTAGATTGGTTGGATCTCAATAGATTTCTGAGTAATAGTATTCTTCGTTGGTGTTCAAGTGGTGATACTGCTATCCTGACTTGAATGCCTTTTTGTGTAACAAGTTTTTTTTTAAGTTGTTAGATAAGGGAAAAAATGAAACATTTTATTATGTTTTGTTTTCATGTTAATAATGATAAAAAAAACTATTTGTGGTGCAAGTTACATATAACCAATAGAAAAATAACAAAAATGAATGCAAAAACAAATAATATCTTTAATGCATTTTTATTTTTTGCTTTTTTCTTAACAGGTTAGAGCACAAGATGCAGACAGTGGTAGCAATGGCCTTATCAAGTATAGCTTGCTGTGGGCACCTCAAGCTCGCATCCGTCCATTCAGCATTGACCAGACGTCAGGCAACATGACCACCACTGAGATGCTGGACAGAGAGCAGTACAAAACCGTCAGTGTGACTGTGAAAGCAGAGGACAGTGGAAATCCACCCCTAGCAGCCTTCTGTTCATTCCAAGTTACCATTACCGACATAAATGATAACTCTCCTGTCTTTGACAAGGGAGAATACACCACAGCATTGTCAGAAGACAAGGATGTTGGATACAATGTAATTCGTGTACGAGCTACGGATAAAGACTCTGCTGTTAACAGCCAGCTTAAGTACAGGATTATTCCATCACCTACTAGTGCTTTCTTCCAGATAAATGAAGACTCGGGGGTTATCTCTCTAGCCAGGGCACTCTCTCAGGTATTTTTCCGTGATTTGCATGAATGATTAGAAAGTGATAATAGTGTAGCAAGTTTTAGAAGGATTATGATAATAATTAATAATTTTTTGTTATTGGTTATTCTGAGTAAGCTTTTGTGAAAAAATTGATTCACTGATAGTGATGACTCTATTAAGTGTATTGCATTTCGTTTCGGTGCCTTCATGTCAATTTTGTTTAAAAGTATAGCAGTTTGATCAATTTGTTAAAATCTAACAAACTTAAGGTTTAAGTTTATTGTTGGCTTCATTACTAGTACATGAGTGAGCACAAATTGAACATACAAATGTTATTGAATCTTTTTTACGGTAAATACTTGACCTATGGGAATCACATCATCTTTATCGAGGTTTGTGATAGTAGTATTTAAATGAAGCAGCTTAAGTCCTTTTCAGTTGAACTAAAATATTTTTACATAATGAGTTAATTTGTCAACTTTGTAAGAATGAGTCACTTTATATTTGTTTCTTTTGAAATTTCTCCTCAGGTCCAGGAAGCAGTGTTCACTGTGGAGGCAATGGACCAAGGCAGTCCACAGCGGGGCGAAAACGTCACCGTCAGAATTTCTATCACCGACCAGAGCAACACTCCTCCAGAATGGGTTGAGAACATTGATGGCAGAACCTATCGAATCATGGAAAATGAGACTGCTGATCACATTGTAACTACCATCTCTGCGAGAAACACCATCGAGGGTCAAACCGGTCTGTCGTTCCGTATCATTGATGGTGGAAATGAATTCCAAAATGGTGTCCGAAGATCTTTTTATGAAAGACCAGTTGACGAAACTTCCTTCGAGGTCCTTACTTACAGAGCTCTTGACTATGAAAATCTCCATCGCTATGAATTGAAAGTACAAGCTTCGGTGAGTACCATTTTAAAATGTTATTCATGAAACATAATTACTAATGAATGTAAATTCATCAGATAGACTTAATATCAAAAAAAGCAATTTGTGAATACCCAGAAAGAATGTTATAAATTTTTTTAACATCTACAAAGTTTCTTGAGTTTCTTGAATAAAGAGTATCAGGTTTGTTGATTGAATAAAAAACTGTCAAATCATACAGAAATTTGCTTACAACCAATTTTTAAATAAAACTATTTTCCCTTTTCAAACCAGAACAAGGCACAGAACAGGCTTACCCTGTACAAAGAAGCCATCATATATGTGGAACTGATTGATGTGAACGATGAGATTCCACAGTTTGAGGATATCGATACCTCGGGTTACATCTTGGGCAGTGTACCAGAGAATGAACAAACCAACTGGCAGGTTGTTACAGTACAAGCCGTAGATGCTGACACCATACCCGATTATAAAAGGGTGAGTAATAATAACAATAATAATGAGCTTTATGAAAAGAGGGTAAAACATGTTAAGTGTATACACTTTTCTTACACATGGCCTTCTGAGGGGTTAGAACAAGATATTGTGTTGATGAATAAAATATTGCGTTAATGAATAAAAGATAAATAAATTAATTCATTAAATGAAAATAATAGAGTAAGTAAAATTGAATCAAATTTATTGTGATCAGTTGCAGAATAGCAAGAAGAGGTGGATTTTTTTTCTTCTTTTTGCAAATCATGCTCTTTTTTACATTTATAGAAAACATGATGCAATTTGGAATGTTTTGCAGTAGTTATGTTAGCCTCAGATATTTTCAGGTTTTCAGCAAAGAACTGGGACTGTATTTAACAACTTTTCGTTTGTATCTCTAAATGATAAATATCATGTTTTAGACTGGTAATGAGAGTGAAAAAGAGAACTATCCTTAAGCCAGTAGCAGACCTGTTATTTGTCTGTTTATGTGATAAAGCTAAAAGATATAGCCTTGCAGGTGCATGCTCTCAAACTATGTGACACTTTGTGTGGAAGATTCCCTAATGAAAATTCAAATGATTTTCTACTGAGTATATTTGACATTTTTTAGGTAAGGTACAGTTTCGCTCCACCAGAACCAAATGAGGAAGATTATCGCACCAAATTTGCCATTGATTCCAGCACTGGCACCATCACATCGCGGGTTTCATTTGACAGGGAAGAGAGGCGAACCTATTTTGTGACGGTAGCTGCTGAAGACAGTGCTCCATCAGCCAGGAAGAGCGTAAATGGACCCAATCGAGGTATTTACACTGGAGACAAAAGACTAATGTCTTAAACTCACAGCTTATGTATTGAAGATAATAAATGGCACACAAGCTACTAGAATCGGGCTTTAAAAACTTCAGTAATCTGCTGTATACCTATTAGTAGGTACATTGAAATGAGGGCCGTATCTCATACATGAAAGGATTCTCTTTGATCTTAAGAACTGCTGCTTGGGAAATAACTGCTTTGTTAAATTAACATGAAACCTTGGATTCCATATTTGATTTGCCTTTATCAAAGTTGACTTTATAGTAATGCATGACCAACTGATGTTGCTCTCCCTTTTCATTATCTTTCCTTTTTCATCCTCAGCTGTGGCGACTGTTAAGATAATTGTGACAGATAAGAATGACAACACGCCAATGTTTGCCAAAGCACGCTACAACACGTCCGTGTTTGAAGACGCAGAGATTGGAGAAGTCATCTTTCAGTTGACTGCAAGTGATGCTGATGAAGGTAAAAAGATATTTTTGATGAAACAATTCATGTATCTCTTATTTTGTTCGTATTTATCCGTCAACACTCAAAATTGAAAATGCTTGTTAATTTTATAAGATTTATGACAGAGAATAAAAAAGGGGTTCCATGCAGGTGTCTTGACATGTGATCCTTCTTTGTTAAATCCTGGATTTGCCCATGATTTTAGCATTCTCCATTTTAGATGGTTCCTTGAGTTATTTTATCAGTGCCGGAAATATTGACGGTGCATTTGGAGTGACGCCAGACACGGGAGAGATCATTGTGCAGAGACGCCTAGATTTTGACAGAGGAACAAGAGTATGTATTTATCATTTTTATAGGAAAACCACTTCTTGTTTATGTTGACCAACTAAGGTTTTTTTTATATAAGTACTGAATATGTCATAATTTATTTATTTCCTGCCATCATGTACCACTTAAAAGTTGAAATATTGATATGTATTTTTAGTCTCAAAAGTATCTAGACTTAATTTTATGCTATTTTTGGAAATATCCATTGTCAACTTTTGAAATATGCCAGGGGGAAAGAATACTTGTTTTAAATTGAATGTTGACTGTTTGTTTAGAATGGCACCAGCCCGGGTGTGCAGGTAATTGAATTATGTCCCATACTTTAAGTGTTATCACTATTTTTTTATTATTGACACCATCAGAATAGTTTTGTTTATTCACTTATTCAAAGGAGCTAGTAGTGTGAAGCAACATTCTTTCAGTGTGCAAATTTTAAAGTTAAAGTGATAATCCATGCAGTTGAACCCTGACTATTAAAAAACTATTTAAGGGTTATCTTAAAGGGCATTGTTTGATTATTTACTTAAGTAGAATTAAGAGGGATTTTCATCAGTTTTATTTTTTCCTTTAATACCGTGCTAGATTCACATTGTCCTTTCTGTCAAGCCCCTTTTCCCATCTTTCAAGATATTTAAAAATAATTTTGTACACAAAGACCAATACAGCTTTCATGCTTAATTTCCGAATTCTAAACGTTTTAATGTTAAAACATGAACTGTTATAAATTTGTAAACTTTGCATTTTAAGCCCTATAATGGTTTTCATAAAAAATGTTTTATTTTGATGCAAAAATAAAATTAGAAAAATTTCCTCCATGCTTTATACAGAGTATGCCCTCCACCTCTATCAACCTCTTAAATTTTACCCAACACCCATAAGTGGTGCCACCTTTTGTTGATTCACTATGGTACATTATTGTATAGAATAAACAGCTTGTTATACATTTATGCATACATATGTTATTTTTGATTTGGCAGTGTAAAGTAGGACAGTTGAAACATTTTTGTAAGCTTATTGCTGTTTGTATCTTTCCCTCATTAGATATATACTCAGTGATTCAATTTGTAATTGTTACATTTTGGTGATCATCCAACAAATTGGATACGTTTTGAGAGGCTAGTTGTGAGAAATTTTGACTTTCAACTCTAGATACAAAAAAAAGAAGGAGACATTATTATTTTATTTAATGTACTTGTTGTAATACATGAGCGCCCCGCAACATGGCATAATTTTAAAACGCCTGCCATTGTTTTTCCAGCACTACAACTTGACGTACAGAGTTGATGATGGCTTACATTCCAACACCACCATTTTGGAAATAATTGTCAAGGACGTCAATGATAATGCTCCAGAATTCAGTCAAGGAACCTACGAGGCGCGAGACATCATGGAGAATGATAACAATGTTCCCAGAGATTTATTGAGGGTTTGTGTTTGATAAAGCTTTTCTGAATCAATTAATCATCATTGAGGTGTAGAAAATTTGAGTACCTGCTTGTATCCAGTGACTTCTCATCAGTTTACTTGTCCACTTTGTAAGTTATCATCTTTAGACAAAGGTATTGTGAGCTAAAAGAATTTTTCATTGTAATAACTTTATTCTTTTTGAATGTTATGGATACGCATAGTGTGCATGCTCATTCATTTGAAGGCTGGTATTTATCTGAGATCTAAAATGGTCTTGTAACAATGGTGCAAGTAGTTTATTCAGTGCTGTAGCGAAAGCAAGCCAGTGAGTTAAATACAATATAATCTGAGAGTAATAAGGATTTAAAGCAAGTATATCTATTCATGCGTTGATAGTATTTATCCATGAACCAGGCAGTCTTGTTCAGGTAACATAACTACACATTATGATTATCAATATGTTACATTATTTTGCCCTTTCCCTCTTCAGGTAAGTGCCACAGATCCAGACACCAGCCGTAACAACACCATACGGTACAGTTTGGACGGTCAGTTTGCCAGAGATGGCTACTTTGATGTTGATCCAATAACCGGACAAGTCAGGCTGCTCAAGCCGCTTGATCGTGATCCACCAGAGGGCAGGCCAATCTGGGAGGTCAACGTTCTTGCAGTTGATGAACCCACATCCCCTAACGCCCTGACCGGATATGCAGAGATCAAGGTATACGTACTGGATGAGAATGACAATGCACCAGTCTTCGTCCCCGAGAGGCTGAAAGGAACAGTTATGGAAGGAGAAATAGTCCGTGAGTATTTTTTTATAGCTAGTGAGGTGAATATTTTTTTAAGGAGAGGAGATGGGGGGGGGGGGCACTTCCAATTGTTATTAATTTTTTCCTTTGTGTAAATTGTAAATTTTATGAATCCTCACCACAATTTTTGTAATAACAATATTTTTCAACTTGCATAATAAATTACCCATAAACCAGATAATAAAAAAAGATTTGTTTAGGAAGCTCCAGCAAAATATAAGCTACTATAGCATAGTCATGCAAAAAATAAATGAGAGAGAAGCATATGGTTCATGTTTCTTCTTTCGTCAATTTCAGCCAACTTCATGACAGTGGTGGCCACGGATAAAGATGCAGGGGACAATGCCCTGGTCACTTACTCCATCCTCCAGAACAGTGTAGGTGCCAATGGGCAGAACCTTTTCAGTATTCAAAGCAGTGGCACCAACAAAGGGGGCATCTCTACTCTGACAACGACTCTCGACCGCGAGGTCCAGGCTCAGTATGAGCTGGTGGTGCAGGCCCAGGATAACCCATCAGACGGTAGCCAAAGCAGATCCTGTGAGTAGATTAATCGGGGAAAAAATTTGAAATTTTCTTCTCTGAAATATTTATCAATATTTTTAAATGCCTGAATCCGACTAGACCACATTAGGTAACATATTTTTTCAAAATTATCGAGAGGTTTGATGAAATGTTCGAATTGAAAAAAAAAAATTATGTCAGCAGAGAATTGAGAGTTGTCTTCTGATAAAATTTTCAAGACAGACTAAATTGGCATGTTTTAAGATATGTCATGGTACAAACAGGAAGAAAATGATATATTGGAAAAGTGCAATAGGTTACTGATCTTTCTTTTTGATCTGCAGATGGCATCACAATTGAAAATTTGACAGAGAAGGCTTTATTGGTGCATGAAAATTTCAGTAAGCAGTTGAGAACCCAATTTATAGAAGAAATTGATAATATAAGTGTTTCAAAACAAACATTTTTCTGTACAACACGTGGAATCATATCACATTTTCTTCCTCCTTTCCAGCCAGCGCAACTGTCACCATTACTGTAGGAGACAGGAATGATCAGCCACCTGTCTTTAGGCAAAGTTCCTACACTGCAGAGATGTCTGAGAGTTACACTGTGGGTACCTCAGTGTTAACAGTGGCTGCCTCAGACAATGATATTGGCAGCAATGCAGCCATCACTTTCAGACTGTCGGATTCCAACTTCTTCAGAGTTGATAAGGTTGCAGATAGCAATGATGACACACAGTATGGAGTTGTTAAAGTGCATCAGGTAAACAGCAATGAGATATCTCAAATGATTTCAGGAATTTCTCAGTTGTGTGAACTTATCTACATCATCTTGGCTAATTTTAGAGTTTTGTTTTCATAGATGACACATATTTCACCTCGGATCAAAACCAGATGGCCTTTTTTTTTGGTCACTAGTTCGTAAAGATAACAGAATTCATGAATCTAATCACACATAGAAAAGTCTTCATATTATGTGTTTTCCAGTGCAATTCGAATAAGTGAAAGAGGTCAGTCTATATGATGATTTGAAATGACACAACAAGTAAATATCTCAATTTTATTAATAACCCACCATTTGTCATATTTTGTATTTCAGCAAATTGACTATGAACAGATTAAGGCCGACCCCGTGATAAGACTTCAGGTGTTCGCAGAAGACACCGTTCACACTGCCACTGCTAATATCACCATCACTGTCACAGATGCCAATGACATGGCACCAGAGATCACTCCTCAGACATTTGAGACTGATGTTTATGAGAATGTTACAATTGGCACTAAAGTTGCAGAATTTACAGCTACGGATGGAGATTCTGGAGTTAATGCCCAATTTGAGTGAGTAGTTGCAGATTGTATGTTCATCTAGAAGTCTCATCTGAATATACGAAATGATGGGTAGCCATTTGGTCATAATATTTTATCTAGAATCTACCGCCTAATTTCGTTAAAATTTGGTGTTGATTTTGGTATTAAGCATCTTATAAAATTGACAAAATAACTCTGTTGTTCATCATTATTTGCTTTTGTCAGTGCATTTTACAACTTGACTACTCATTTTCAATGCTAAACAGTTTTAAAAATCTTTCCTTGCTTTTACGTAGGTTCTCAATTGATCGCAGAACAGATAGACAGCGCAAGTTCCGTATCGAGCAAGTCGGAAATAGAGGCATTGTGTATGTTTATAAGGGCCTGGACAGAGAGGCCATCCCTGATGATCCAGTGAGAACAATTAAGATTTTGGCCATTGACAAAGGTAGGTATAACACATTGATTCATATTATAGTGTAGAATTGGGAATCCACTGTCTGACACTGATTTTATTGCTTGAAATGTGAATTATTTGAAGACATGCTTGATGGCCATTGACAAAGGTAGGTATAACACATTGATTCATTTTATAGTGTAGAATTGGGAATCCACTGTCTTACACTGATTTTATTGCTTGAAATGTGAATTATTTGAAGACATGCTTGATGAATTATTGTATGATAAATGATTTGCTGGGAAGCAAATATGTTAAATATTTTGTACATGATGCACTGGCAAAATGACTTAGTTCATCAGTTTGGGAATTTTTTTTTTTTTTTTTCAGTTCAGATTTTTTCCATCACATTTTATTTAGAAACATTTATTATTATTATTATTATTATTATTATTATTATTATTATTATTATTATTATTATTATTATTATTATTATTATTATTATTATTATTATAGTTTTTGTAAATTAAACAAGTAATTTATAAAACTCTTACCAATTTGTAGGAGTCCCAGCCCAAACTGGTTCAGGTACCCTCAAAGTGAGGTTGTTGGATGTTAACGACAATTGGCCTCAGTTTGCCAATGACCTTGACCCTCCACCCCGGGTGATGGAAAATACCCCACCAGTGGTCAGTGTGATCACAATTAGTGCAGTTGATCCTGATGAAGAAAGTAATGGCCCACCATTCACCTTTGCCTTGGGAGATGGAGCTGTTTCTCCTAGAAACTGGCGCAACTTGTTCACTTTTGATTTTACTCCACGTAAGTCTGACAGGGAGACTGTACACATAAAAGCCTAATAGGAAGTTGACTGTAAAAGTGGAAATTAAAAGTGGATATTATGACAATTTAGCACTCTACATGTAATTTTAGATTACAGACAAATGGGAATAATGAAAAAAACAAATAAATGTTATATTGCTAAAAAATATTTTCCTAGAAATTATTGTTTCCCATGCATTGCGTTGGCGTGCCCCATCCAAAGCCATTCAGAAAATCGTGACTTAAAAAGTGTTTTTCAAGGTCTTACTTTCAAATTTTTTACCGTCAACAGAAACCTCACCCCCTTATGGACAGGCACTAATTCAGTCAAGTGCCACTTTTGATCGAGAAGAGACCAAATTCTACTACATGCCAATTATGATGCGCGACAGCGGAAACCCTGTGATGAGTGGCACCAACACTCTGACCATCGAGATCGGAGATGTCAACGACAATGACCACAAAGCCGGTCGGAAAGAGGTGTCTGTGTATAACTTTGAAGGTAAGCTTTATAACAGCATGTTGAATAGTTTTTGCTTCATGGTGCATAGTGGCCAGTATTAGGCAAGAAGAAAAACCATATGACAATGAGAGAAAAAAATTCTAAAAGGCCGATTTTAAAATGTAATGACGCTGTATGATTTGCATGTGGTGACAGTCATGTATGACATTCTCTCCATGCATGACTTATATATATCTATATATCTAGCCACTGAAGAAATATATATATCATTTTAGTTGCATGTTAGAAAATTTCAAGCTTTTCACAATGACCAATCATATAAAATATGATAAAGATGATGAACATTTCTTCTGCATCCTGTGCCTCCTCATAAAACTGTAGCAAAATCTTATCATCAGTGCAGAATATTTGAGCCAAATGAATATTATATAATATGATTTAAGAGCCCTACAGTACCAATTTATTAGATTTAGTAGAACTTGGCTTCAGCTGTTGCATGTGACATATCATAAGCTTATTATACTCTTCATATATCAATTGCAAAACTATATATATGCCCATGTATATACATCTTAGTTAGTTTAGATTTACCCTGTAGTAAAATAAATTTAAAAAATGCACTTGCCCTATGCTACATTTACCCCTCACTTTTAAATCTTTTCAGGTTGGAATGACCCAGATAGTAAGTATTATATATATCATTGTTTGTCTAATACATGAACTAACAGCATGCAGTTATCCCTTGCACCATTTTATAGTGCTAGACATGTAGATATGTTATGATTATATGAAGTATAGTTTTATTAGATATTTAAGTAGTATATTATTTTCATTCAAAGGGTTTTGGTGTGTGATTTATAGTTGTGTCAATTTTTACCATTAAATAAATGTGGGTTGGTTTGAGTGTTGGGATAATTTGGTTTTTGCAATTATTTAAAAGTAGTTACCTTCTGTATCTTTTATTTATTTGTTGCATTTTTTAACTAAATGTTTTGTGCTAATCTCAAATGGGATTGCGCAGTGACTGTATGAAATTGGTTTTATGTTGCTTGGTACAGATCTTTTTAAAGCACAACAGAATTTTTGTTTCATTTGAATAGCAGGTGGATTTTTTATCATAAAGAATGATAATCTTTAATAATATAACAAGTCAAATAGTGTGTTATTTGATTTTAGCACCTACTTTTATTACTTTTTTATGTGTTTGATAACATCAGGGGAAGTGTGTTTTTGTTGACCATCAGTATGTATTTAAATATGTAGATTGTGTTTTTTCACCAAAAAAAAACAATAATTATATTGTACAGTTTTATAAAGAGTAATGATTATCTTTGTATACATTGCAAACAGTACCAGAGATTGTCGCTGCACTGTAACCAATATAATTCATGTATTTTGGGGGGAAATACCATAGGATGATCCTTTACTTTTGGTTGGGATGTCCCTCTGACTGTCTTGTTCTTTTGTGTTTAAAGGTCAGTTTAGCAGCACAGTGATAGGGAATGCCTATGCTGAAGATCCTGATGACTGGGATAGAGTGGACAAGACATTTACTTGGGTTGGAAGCCAGCCTCAACATTTTAGGTGAGTACAGAAAAATGAGTTTTCTCGCAAGGAGAAGTTAACCCAAGACTGGGTACTTGCTTAAAGAAATTAATCTGAGATATAATTGTAACCATTTATTTGTAATAAGTTCAAATATTGTCATCTCCCTCGCAAATGCTGTGTAAATTATATCCACTATGGGCTTAGGCAGAGAAATGTCACATGGAATATGTACTGACCATGACTTTTAACCTCTAATTAAAACTTAAACCTGTTATTCTCTAGCTTGGACCAGGACACTGGCGATGTGATAATGCTGAAGGGGGCACCTGAAGGAAACTATAATCTGGAGGTCAAGGTCACTGATAATGTTCGAAATGTGGAAGCCATTGCCGTGGTAGTGGTTAACATAAAATACATTGGAAAAGAAGCCGTGTACAGCTCTGGCTCCATAAGATTGACAGGTATAACTTAAAAAGGCTTTATTGAATTGTACTATAATCATAGTCAAATAAATCATTGATCATTTTGTTTTTTTTATATCTATTTACCCAAGTGACATTATTGTACATAATAATTTACTTAGTAACTACTGTCCTATGTAATGGTATGTTTGATTTATCACCTGACCCTGGTTATTACAGAGATAAATTCATTCACAGGATGTTGTCTGATTTATCAGTTTTTTTTAATTTCTCAGGTTTAAGGATATACTTTTTGATTATATATTTTTTAATTAAATCAAAATTCACCTATCGCATTTCTGTTCAGGCATCACTGCAGAACAATTTATTGAGAGGCCCAAAGGTGGAAAGAGTAAATATGACATGTTCCGTGAATTGCTGGCCACAAAACTTGGCACCAAAACCGAGTTTGTTGAAATTTTTACTGTCAACAACAGTGCTCCAAATACCATCGATGTGCGCTATGCTGCTCATGGCTCCCCATGGTACAATGCTACCAAAACAAATGGCGTAGTTCTGTTAAACCAAGCAGAGGTAAGGCTTTTTATCATTTGAGCATGGTTATATGCTATTTGTTCTTTAAATTTAAAATTATACTGGTTTTTGAACTGCAGACATTTTTAGAGAAATTAAGTTGTGGAAAAATTGTTTTCAAGCCATTTATTCGATTTAGGTGTGTTGTTATGCTAAAATGTTAAAATCTATGTAAGTAAAGTCAACATGATTTTAAACTTATTTACTTATTATTATTATTATTATTATTATTATTATTATTATTTTGCATATAAGTACACATATTAAAGCCCAGAATTAGATATTTCTAAAGACAGTCATTTCAAGGACCATGTTTTTCATTTTCAGTTTGAGAGCACAGTCGGTATAACTGTAGGAATGGTTCCAGTGGATGAATGTCTTCAGGAGACTTGTGAGAGTGGAGGATGTACCAATGAGCTTGTCGTGGAAAACATCCCTCTGGTGGTGAACACAAACACTACTTCTCTGGTGGGAGTGCGTGCTTACATCAAAGCAGAGTGCACATGCAAAGCACGAGAGTTTACAGATGGGAATACGCAGTGTAGTGGAGACAGTTGTAAAAATGGCGGCACTTGTCTTCCAAATTTGTCAGGATCTGGGTACACCTGTCGCTGTCCTGCTGGTTTTGATGGTCCGCGTTGCCAGCAGAGGCGTCACAGCTTCTCTGGCAATGGCTGGGCTTGGTACCCTTCTTTGTCTCAGTGTGAGGACAGCAAAACTAGCATCGAGTTCCTCACAGAGAAAGCAGATGGTTTGATTCTCTACAACGGTCCTTTTACACAGCAGACTGGTGTTGATGCCGTCACTGATTTCATCTCCATTGAACTGGTTCGAGGGTTTCCCAGAGTGAAAGTGGACCACGGTACTGGAGTGCTGTCCCTGCAGTTCAGTGCAGCAGATGGCATGCAGCCATTGAATGATGGAAAGTGGCACGAGATTGCCGTCTACAGAACTGGAAGGGTGTGTAGCGTTTTGCTGTAAAGCTCGGCAGCTTTTTATTTATTTATTTATTTATTTTTATTTTATTATTTTTTTTATTATTATTATAAGAATTTTTTTCATTTTCCTAACTTAATAATGAGATACTATAAATGATGCATTTTCTATCATAGTTTCCATGATAAAATATATATGTAAATATCATAGTAGAGTGAAGATATACTTTTAACACTTGTCTTGAATAATACAGTCAAGTGGATAAATATATGAATTTAAGCAGTGGTCAGTTGCTCTTATCTTTAGTTGATAAAATGGGCTGTTTGTACAGTATTATGTCATAAAGGTTTTACAGTTGGTAGGATGGCTAATGCTTGAAATCATTTATATTGTTTAAAAACTTAAATTGATACATGCACAGATACATCTGTTAACTTCAGGAAATAATCATATTTCTACTGGTTCATATTTTAGAGAGTTAGAGTTGTGGTTGACAACTGTGAGAATGCCCAGGTCGTTGAAAATGATGGAAATACTTCAACGGAGGACACGCGACTGTGTGCAGCAGAGGGAGAGACCCCTGGTGAGAATAAGTTTATCAACGTCAACCTACCTCTGCAGTTAGGAGGACGCCAAAATCCAAATTTCCCAGCAGAGGTCACCAGTGGAGGATTTGATGGGTGTGTGAAGAATTTGATTCATAATGGAGAGGTAAGATGTCAGCTGCCTTTTGAATAATGCGTTAAGAAGCGGAGAAAATCAATTAAAAATGACTTGAAAATGCTTGAAAATTGTGTTGGTATGACAGTGGCATTGTGAACCTTAAGTCTGTTAACAGTCATTTACAGTCTACTTACAGTTATACCTAGGTAACACAATATCTAAACCTTTTTTTCAAACTCTTAAGTATACAGTTTGCAATACACAAGACCAAGTTAGAAAGTAGGTGTTATTTATTGTATTCAAGTAATTTTGTCACAAATTTAAGTTATATTATTTTACACCCACTAAATTGATGGCAGTGTCATATATCGCAGGACACCACTTATCCTAATAATATTTTTCATTCAATTTTTGTTTCTCCAAACTCCAGCTGTATGATCTACACATTGGGGACACGGGCATGCACGAGAACTCCGCAGATGGATGCCCGCGAGAGGATGCGATCTGCGAAGGTGTCAAAACTGATGCTAACAACATCAAACTTGCAGGAGAGCAAGCTGGACCCAAATGTGGGGCAAATGGCACCTGTGTTGTGACCAGCCTTAGTGAGAGAACGTACAAGTGTATTTGTAACCCTGGCTGGCGAGGTCTTCAGTGTTCCACAGGTTAGTACACACTAAGTAGAATATGTTGAGATTTTTATATCTTGAGTTACTTTTATGAAGTGGGTGCAATTATTTATTTATTTATTTATTTATTTAGTGTGTGTGTACAACGGATCAGTAGTTTTTAAATACTTTAATAATCTTAATATCTTCAGGTTGACAAGGTATATTTTCTTCATCCAAATTTCAGTAGGTCACAATGTCCACTTAGCTTTCCAGAGAGACCATTAAAATATTGCAAGTTTTGCTGTTCCTCCCCTACTTTTCCTGGAATTAAAACAGTTGATGACTTAAATCCCCCGTCCCCCATTCATCCACTTGTTCACTTTAGATGAAGAGATTTGTATACATTTTGCCTCCCAATCTGAATCTTATTTTCTTGTATGTATCCAGCCACCACTGTTGTGGATTTCCAAGAAGACAGTTATCTGATGTGGGTCATGAAAGCGAACTATCAGTCCACATTGGACAGTATGGCATACCAGCGTAATGTGGAGATTCAGCTGATGTATCGAACACGCGACACACATGGCCGCGTCTTTACGGCCACCAATAGTGCAGGAAGGGAGTACATGAGATTACAGGTAAGCGTAGGTCACTTACTGTGAGGATTTTTTACTGATACATGTTGGGATAGGCCTTTTGGAACAGTTGAATCGTTGTGATAACAAGAAGCAGGTTATGTATTAATGTAAGTTATTACTGTAACTATTGCAGCCTTTATCAGCTAGTCAGTAAGATTTTTGTAATATTTTTGAGTCCTCTGAGTGTGTCTAGTTCTCATCTGAATCTTTTTCATCATTATTTTTTCTTCCATTTTAAAAACTGATCTCTGACTGTGACTCAACACTTACTTCAGATCCAAGACATGAGACTTCAATTCGTCTACAACCTTGGCTACATTGAGCAAAGCGTTTCCCTGGACTATGTCAATGCTTCTGATGGCGAATGGCACGTTGTAAATGTGAAACGATTCGGCAAGCACGTCATCTTGACCATGGATCAAGGAGAAGGGAAATACTATGCCGAAAACCTTGGAGCTGCTGTCGCCCACCGCCTCATGAGAATAAACCAAAGGAGAGTTTACGCAGGGGCTGAGCTTAATGGCATTGACGGGTCGTCCAATCGGATAGTACCTGATCAGGATTTGTCAAACAGTAAGTGATGACTGCAAAGTAGCTAATGTAAACCCCCCCCCCAATTACCCAAGATTTTCATTGCCTGTGTAGTGGTCAAAAGGTTTGTGTTTGTTGAACAATAATCAAAATGCCAAAAATATGATTGCTTCAAATTATTCAGTTTGGTAATATGAAAGTAAAGTGCATGGCCAACAGTTGGAACATTGGAACAGTTGCAGAAAAACTAGCGAAAGAATTTGTGCAGCATATTTCACATATGTATGTTCATGTGAAGGTGTTATACAACTGACCTGTGCATATATGATGCAAGTCTTGCATATAAAGACACCAATTTTACATCTTCAGCCTGTATGCAGGATGTGAGACTCTTTGGCGAGTGGCTCCCCATGATGGAATCCGAAGAATCTCAAAGCACAATAGCCGAGGTAGATCGCTCTGAAAATGTTGTCGAGGGTTGCCCATCTGATGCATGTGCGGGCTTCGTGTGCCCTCCTGATACTGGCTTGATATGTGTTGACCTATGGAGACACGCCGAGTGCAGGTAAGGGGGACAGATATTCTATGTTTTAAAGTTCCATATGAAGGGAGCATAAATTCCCTGTGTTGCATGTAAATCACTACCACCAACTCAAAGAAAACCCAGTTGTCAGAGGATAAACCCAATCAATCACTTGGTGAGCCAAAAAAAACAGCTTTAAAGCTGCACTTTCTCCAAATTTTTTTGTCATAAAATTGACCTCATTTTCTGTCCCTTAAGTTTGTTAAAGTCCACCAAATGACTTTGTAATGTATGATGCATTGCAGGCACTCAATAACATAATTATTTAAATGAGGTTTGGTGAAAACAACTAAGGGTGTCATATATGACAGAAAGATAGCAAAAAATATCTGTTTATTGTAAATATCAATTTTCAGGAAAAATGAAACTATACCCTTTGGTATTTTCTTAAAGTTATAGTAACTCGAACTATATTGGGTAGGTTTAGTGGCAAACATTTTTCTTGTCAGCTCGCTTCAATTGCATCTTTAACTATAACTTGCCTAATTTATACACTGTAGTACCATGGCAGAAGACAGAACCATGGCAGCCAACATTCTGAAAGAACATGCCACAGAAAGAGAAAGAGAGAGAGAGCCTGCAAGTGTACAAATTAGACATTCTGTGCTCTGAATTATTATTATTACAATTTTTTTCCATTTCAGATGTCCAACTGGAGCCAGATATGATGCAACTCTGGCCGTCTGTGTCGACATCAACGAATGCCTCCTCACTCCTCCAGTGTGTCAGAATAATGGGAAATGCGTCAACCTCGAATTCAGCTACAGGTGCGATTGCCCGGCAGGTTATTCTGGTGACAACTGCCAATTGTTTTTGGGTTTCACAGGAGCAGCTGCTGTGGCCCCTGCAGTATGGGTGGTCATTGCTATTGTGATTCTTCTTATCATAGGTAAGAAAGACTGTTTTCTCTTATGTTTTATGTGTCTCTTAGTGTATGGTGAATAAATACTGGTAGTTTTGGGTTTATATTTACTTTATGTCTGCTGTTAGGTGAAGAAATTCATCAACTTGAATTCATCAACTTGACAAAACATTAATGTGTCATTAATTCACATTTGTTTAGAAAGGTGTTAAAATTGTTTAATAGGATCAAAGAGAAAAAAAATTAAATGACATATGTTATTTGCAAACATGTAAATTGGATATGTGAAATTGTTAGAAAGGTGCAGTTATTTAAAGAAAAATCTTATTTCTCTTTCAGGACTTCTTATTGGAGCTGTGCTCTACCAGCGCCGCAGAACTGGTGCGGAGAAATATCTGATTGACATTGATGTTGATGATGACATGAGGGAAAATGTGGTCAACTATGATGAAGATGGAGCTGGTACGTCTGACATACCCAAACTGTTTATATTCACTGTTAGAAATTGTTTTCAGAATTACTTACTACTTTTAAATTTATTTGTACTGAAAGGTAAAAGAGGCACCCTTGTTTAATTTTGATATTTATAACGACTACTGTTCACTTCATTTAAACAGCACGCTACCGCTGCCAATTAAATCAGGCTATTTAAATGAAAAACAGAACGTTTCAAATTTTGAAAGAAAAAGTGTTGTTTCAATTGTCTGAATGAGTTCTCACTTGTAAGAGTGGATGTATAGCAATAAGCACGACACTGATATTTAATCACTTACATAAACGTGATTTGACACATTCTGATGAGTAATGGTAGTATAGTTGAACTTAAGAACTCATTTTATTCATTTGTTCTAGGTGAGGAAGACCAGGATGCATATGATATCAGTCGTTTAAGTAAACCCATGAACGGTACACCTAGCATGATGAAGTCTCCACTTAATGAAGATATTCCACGCGACAGGACAAAAGGTCTAGGCCAAGGTAAATAAGAACACAGGCCGTTTAGGTCTCTTACTTTTTCATCAAGTTTTATAATATTTCAGTTCTTCAGAAGTTTGCTGTGAGTAATAATGTATGATAATTATTGGCTTATTTCAAGAGCGGTAGAAAATTTTCTACTCATGTCCCCATGTATGCTGTTTATTGTTCTCCATATTTGTCTCTTTATATGTTTGACAAACTACTACTGATAAACTATACGTAAATAAGGATGATTATAAAGTTAGAAAGAACAATGGTACAGATAGGATATCAGAAGACGAAATGTATAATCTTTGTAGGTAGCTGCTTTGCAAAGTGCAATTTTTTGTAGTGATTTTTTTTCTGTAGTTAGGACTGTGGGTTACAATGTAGCACTAGATTTCACCAACCCTCTTTATATGTTTGACAAACTACTACCGATAAACTATACATAGTGAAGAGAGAATCATTTACGATTAACAATTGATATATTACAGCCCCAGGAGACCCACCTGATGTTGGTGACTTTATCCACCAACGCCTGAATGATGCAGATGAGGACCCAGATGGTCCGCCATTGGACAGTTTACGGGAATATGACTATGAGGGTGGCGGAAGCACAGCAGGATCACTGAGCTCGCTGAATTCCAGCTCTTCAAGTGAAGACCAAAATTTTGACTACTTAAACGACTGGGGACCAAGGTTTGCTAAGCTTGCAGAAATGTATGGAGCAGGACAGAGCGAGGAAGACGATTAAATGGAAAACTGAACTTAAGCAAAAAGACAAGATTACGAGATATAACAGCTGAGATCCCATCTACTAATTAGATATGCCTAGGTTGAACTCAACAGAACTCGGATGTTGCAGTTTTAAGATGAGCATGGAGAGCATGCCCACAGAAAAATTGTGTGAGGTACAAGTGCCACTTGGTTTCTTCTTCATTTGCTCCATTTTACAGTGTGTACATGTTTCTAGGAATTTATTCACTGTTAAGTGAATTTAGTTTCATATGACATTACTAAGTCTGCAGCTGAGAAGATGAGACTTCTCCATCACATTTTCCCCTCAGTTATCGACAGTTTCCATTTGTCTTGTCTTATTGTAAATTCTTAGCTGGAAAGAGGAATGAAAACATTCAACATACCACAGCTGTAGATATGCAGTGCAGATGCTTTCCATTATAATATGCCAAGCCATCCTTGTCTGCCATTCTATTGGTGCATTTTGGCAGTTTTTGTAGTTGCTACCCATTTTAGTTAGAGTGTACAATGGTGAATCTTTCCTTGTGCTTTTTTTTTACTAAACATTATTGAAAACTTTTTATACAGCAGTCTCCTTTTTAATAATCCAGTCGATACAGGCATCGCTTTCAACACCGATGACATTGCCACAACTTATAAAATGTGTTAATACCAACAAATGTCACAACTTATGCAATGCTAACATTATTCACAACAAGCACTATTATTGTGTCACACAATTGCCACAACTAATGCAGTCACAGTATCTAAAATAACTGAATGAATTGCTTCACTATAATGTACATGTTCAGAAAGAATTTTATTTTTCATCATATATTTAGTTGTGATAGGTATATTTTTACCTGAATCATCACAATTGTAAGAAATGTTTATCTCTGCGTCAACAACATCATTTCTATGTTTATATTAAGATTATTGAGTGTATAAAAACATCCATGTGGTTGAATATGTATGATCATTGTTAAAGATTGGCACATTATCTATGATGCATTGCACTGAAGCTTAAACGTTAATAATCTCATTCATTGGTGATTGGTTAAAAATCAGCCAATCAAACAAAAACTCATAACTAGCATCACAACCAAATTTTTCATGTAGAAGTCTTGAATCAACCTAATCTTGAATAGATGTTCCATCTTAGCATAGCAGATTGTGAGATCTGCTCGGGGTAGTGAAACGAATATATCTAACAGATCATTCCAAAAGGTTTATATATATATAAAGGGCCTTGATCTCATGCATTATAATTTTATAAAATAGTTTCTATAATACTTGGAAATATTATCACGGTATGTAATATATAGTATTAGTAATTTTCATGTTTAGTCAAGAGATTACCCGAGTTCGTATTAATTGTTTTCCATCACTTTAGAGGAAAATCCACGCCCTGTCACTTGTTTTTATTTGCCATTGTGAATGTCAACATATCTGTATCGCAAAGTTGATTATGTATAAAGTATTATTTGAGGAAGTTTCTGTACATGTGTTTCTGAAAAAAGTACAAGAAGCCTCTTGTCCTTGTACCTGTTATGGAGAGACTTTCATTTGTGTAATTTGATGTGCGTTTGTGCTGAAAGTTGTAGAAACTCACGTAGTGATAGATTGTTGGAGGTCTTCGTATCACTTTTTACTTATGAAGTAAAGTGCTGTAGATCAAGAAGCAAGTAAAGTATTGTCTTTAATTTCATTATTGTATGTTTGCGGAAGAAGGGACACATTTATAGATTCCGTTTTACCTGAAAGGCGAAGAGTATTTTTTGGATTGCAAGTAAATGATCCTTTGTTTGAATAAAAATAAAGATAATTATAAAGTTAGAAAGAACAATGGTACAGATAAAATATCAGAAGACAAAATGTGTAATCTTTGTAGGTAGCTGCTTTGCAAAGTGCAATTTTTTTGTAGTGATTTTTTTTCTGTAGTTAGGACAGTGGGTTACAATGTAGCACTAGATTTCACCAACTTGTATTGTTAAAACGGTTAACTATGTTTGAAGAATGATACAAATTTAATTGCAAATGTATTTCAATGGAATGAAGTTCCAAACTTTTACTGAGGTTTGAAAAAGAGTTCACCAGAAATTAAAACCTGTTATCAAAATGTTTCTTTGTATGGTGTAAAAGGCAGGTGAGCCCACAGATTCCTCGATACTAAAGATCTGCCCTCCATACTCTTGCGATGAAATTTTTCCATTGAAATTACCTGGACTGAAAAATGCTGCGCGCTGTGCGATATCAATATTTAGAACATATATTTATACACATTTGCACAACTTCGTACTACTTGTAGAGTTGTATTTTTATTTCATCATATGAATTTATATATATATAATATGTATTGCTTCATCATCTATAGCACGTAGATATTCTCGTTTTACGGAAGATGAAAGAAAAGCTCATTTTATTGTCTCTATATTTGTACATACCGCTTATACTGTGCATTTTGAATAAACTGATTTTTAATGAAACAGCCCTTTTTGTGTGTGTTAACACTGATGTGTAATAGGTCTATCGCGAAATCGCCGTATTATACGACTAAATCTGTGATGAAGACTATTAAAATATAATAATATGGAACATGACTACCATTAAATGAATATTTATTGCATCTTATGTACCGGTGAAAATGTATATATGGGTATAAATACATAAGAATGTGACATTGGATTACAATATTTAACACGGAAATAAACGTGATTACTATAATTAGGAATGACTAAATGTATACATAGTCCACAAGATTATCTTGACATTTCATATAAGATCATAGTGATTCAAAAAAACAAGCTCAAATGGTAATTTAAAGATTTATTTTGTACCATGACAATATTCTAACAAATGGAGCTGTAAATGTTTTTATCACTTAGATTATAGCATACACCGTACCGTCATTAACATGATATAAACAATGAAAATGCACTTTTTAAAATGCAAGCTTGCATTCTATAGCGTCAACAGATCTGTTTTACGTGGTAGAGAATTTTAAGATATTTTAAATATTTCAAAGATATTTTGTATTTTTTCAAGACAAATTGTGCACAAAAAATAGCATGAAGTCATTGTCGCTCACGATGTTTAGAAACTAACTGTGAAGATATGTCTCCCAAATACACGAACGCATACAGCTACACTTCGTTGTGCTTCTCTTAATTCTGCTGCTACGCGTCTCTGCCCTATAAAAGAAAAAAACACGTTAAATTATTTCCCGACTGATTTCCGAAAATATGCATCAACGATTTTTTAACCTTGAAGTTTAAACCAACTAATAAAATTAGGAAAAAAGAACAGAACACGAGAGTTAAAATTGAGAGGAAGAAATAGCAATCTGCAGAGTATTTTACTACGATGACAGATCTATAAAGACTAATATGTCACTTACTGGAGTTGACACCTGGAGAGCTGACAGGTACAGTCCAATATACAGGTAAACCTTGGCAGTGGCTCTTGATTTCAGCAGGTAAGAAAGAAGCGTCCCCAATGGCGGGCTTGACTGTCTTGAAATAGTGGTATTCGCGTGGCACCTCATCCCAAGTTTCGTTCTATAACGATAATACAGTAAGATGTTAACGAGTATAAATTTGAATTGCGAAACTGAAATTTAACTGTATAAAAAATGCGACCAAATCTGGGACAACAATGATCAATCACATTTAATTGAACATTAAGTGACGACCAAAGTATTAGATAATTAGTTTTAACACACAATTTACAATTAACAAGTGACTTCAACACTTGTCCATTACTTAACGGTCTTACTCTTAAAATATGTTTTGTCACGCTCTACAAACATGCTGCTGTTGACTGCGACAATTTAGTCACACAGTTGCAACTAGCGCATTGTCGCTATCATCAGTTTATGAATATTTGAGTAGTTTTTAGTTGCAACAACTATATAATCGGGCGCAATCTAGCACTGGGCGCAATTAAACTAGCACTGGGCGCAATCAGGGCTCCAAATCCCGAAAGCTTAGCTATGTTGCGCACGTGCGCTAGCATGGCGAGCGTGCGCTATCCCATATCTCGAAAGCTTCGCTATGTTGCGCACGTGCGCAAGCATGGCGAGCGTGCCCTATCCCATATCTCGAAAGATTCGCAAATCCCGGCCGTGCGCTAATGTCGAAATCACCATTAGTTTCGAGGCTATTATTTGCGGCGATACAAACTAGTCCCTGGTACCTCTGATTGAAAAACTTGCGGTAAATATTCAAGTGAAGAATGCTAAAGTCATGTTTTATTATGCATAAAAAATTCAAAATTACACATTTCATACATCATTGTATAGTCTACTGATAATAATCATAAATTTAAAAGTGTCATTTTCTACACAAAATGAAAAAGCAGAAACAAAGCATTCGGTCGAACCGTGACCTTCCTCAATGTCTATTATTGTGAGACTGAACACTACTCACCAATGTGTCAGTAATTGTGTCAGTCCAAGCTTCGCTTATTGAATTGTTTTTTGAATTTTAATTGGTGTAAAACACTTCAAATATCAGTATTTGTAACTATGATATTCATATAAATAAAAACAACCTCTTGATTTGCGTCATGGTGAAAAAAATGACATTTTGTGTAATTGTGTTATGACGTCTTCACTTTATGCGGCAATCGAATTTTTGTAGAGTTTGAGGTTATAATTGCGTTGCGTTTGCTAAGGCTTCGAGATAGCAGGGCCCCGTATCTCAAAAGCTTCGCTATTTTGCGCACGTGCGCGAGCATGGCGAGCGTGCACTATTTGCTAGTGCGATTGCACCCACTTGCTGAACAATAAAGTAATGACTTAAAAGTCATGTTTTTGAGACTTGATGTCAGCAGCAAAACATGCGTTAAGGCCAACTTTTCTCTAACACGTCTTCAGTCGCGTGAACGATTGCGTGCGTTCCTTTCTTTTTGACCTTGAGTCTGTTGTCGTTTTCTAAGACACCAGCTGCCACTTTTTAAATTAGGTAGCCAAACATCGATAATTCTAAGCAACACTGTAAACTTCCAATTACTTTAAGCTCCGAAATGATTANGAAAATATTTTTTATCTATTTATTATTTTTTTTCGTTTATTTATTATTTTCATGAAATTTAGCTGTGGGGGGATATAATTCTATGGAGGCTGGAGAAGTCTGACCAAAACAGAATGAATTGATTTAAATTAAAAAGAAAATTCATTACGTAGTTTATAGACACTACAGCTATTTGTTATGCTATAAATTTTCAACAATCTATGATTTATGACTAGTATGTCAGTTGTATTGGATTTATCATTATATAGCATCTCTGCCTCTAATTTGTTTATTGCAATAACACCTATAAGGAAGTAATGTAGATATTTCATTTACACAGTGCCGAGTTCCTATGACAAAATACCGCCCATTATGATGCGCATCCGAACATCATGGATCTAACGTGAAGTCGACTAAATCTTTGATGATGACTATTAGAATATACTAAAGAAAGTGACTACCATTAAATGAATATTTATTGCACCTTGTGTACCGGTGAAAATGTATACGTGGATATAAATACTGTATATAAGAATGTGACATTGGTTTACAATATTAAACACGCAACTAAACATGATAACTATAATAAAGAATGATCAAATGATTATCTTGACATTTCATATAACATCATAGTGATACAAAATATGAAGACTCAAATGGTCATTTTAGGATTTATTTTGTATCTTGTCAATATTCTAACAAATAGAGCTGTAATTAATGTATTTATCACTCAGATTATAGCATACATTGTTCTATCATTAACAACATGATATAAACAATGAAAATGCACTTTTTAAAATGCAAGCATGCATTCTATATCGTCAACAGATTAGTTTGACCCGGTAGAGAATTTTAAGATATTTTAAATATTTAAAATATATTTTGCATTTTTCAAGACAAATTGTGCACAAAAATAGCGTAAAGCCATTCTCTCTCGCGATGTTTAGAAACTAACTGTGAAGATATGTCTCCCAAATACACGAACGCATACAGCTACACTTCGTTGTGCTTCTGTTAATTCTGCTGCTACGCGTCTCTGCCCTATAAAAGAAAAAAACACGTTAAATTATTTCACGACTTGTTTCTGAAAATATGCATCAACGATTTTTAACCTTGAACCAACTAATAAAATTTGACAAAAGGACAGAACACGAGAGTTAAAATTGAGAGGAAGAAATAGCAATCTGCAGAGTATTTTACTACGATGACGGGTCCATAAATACTAATATGTCACTTACTGGAGTTGACACCTGGAGAACTGACAGGTACAGTCCAATATACAGGTAAACCTTGGCAGTGGCTCTTGATTTCAGCAGGTAAGAAAGAAGCGTCCCCAATGGCGGGCTTGACTGTCTTGAAATAGTGGTATTCGCGTGGCACCTCATCCCAAGTTTCGTTCTATAACGATAATACAATAAGATGTTAATGAGCATAAATTTAAATTGCGAAACTGAAATTCAACTGTATAAAAAATGCGACCAAATCTGGGACAGCAGTGATGCATCACATTTAATTGAAAATTAAGTAACGACCAAAGTATTAGATAATTAGTTTTAACACACAATTTACAATTAACAAGTGACTTCAACACTTGTCCATTAATTAACGGTCTTGCTCTTAAAATATGTTTTGTCACGCTCTACAAACATGCTGCTGTTGACGGCGACAATTTAGTCACGCAGTCACAACTAACGCAATGTCGCTATCATCAGTTTATGAATATTTGAGTAGTTTTTAGTTGCAGCAGCTATATAAGCGGGCGCATACTAGTACTGGACGCAGTCAGGTTGTTCTCTTCCGTACGTAAGAAAGTAACTTTCTAGAACATTTTGTACATTTGCATTTAGTTGTTAATTTATATCGATATGGATGATATAAGTAAATCGTCGTCATCTTAACGGAGTAAATAAGTCAGGGGTTATGTTTCGAGTTCATGAAAGACGTCATCTTTTATAACGATATTCTGTTAATATGACATGTACATTATCCTTTTAGACGATCCCGTCTTATCCTGGCCGTCATAGTTGCTGCTAAATTTAAGTTGCCAAATATTATGTGAGTATTAATTATTATCAGAAAGTATATAACAAAACTAGAGCTTCACGATACTAACTATGTATTTATGGTGTCATTTTACTTTGTTGTCGTACATATGTATTTTGCTCGGCCTCTCTCTTTTTTTAATTTAATTTGTGAATACATTTTTTGTATTTCAGTCTCTTTGTTATTTATTATTTCATTATTATAAATGTATTTATTGCTTTTTACTTTAGTTTCATCACTACCAGTAGCACTAGCACTTGCACTAGCATTATGTGTCATTACGTAGGTGAACAATAAAGTAATGACTTAAAAGTCATGTTTTTGAGACTTGATGTCAGCAGCAACACATGCATTAAGGCTAACACGTCTTCAGTCGCGTGAACGATTGCGTGCGTTCCTTGCTTTTTGACCCTATTGAGTCTGTTGTCGTTTTCTAAGACACCAGCTGCCACTTTTTATATTACGTAGCCAAATATCGATAATTCTAAGCGACCCTGTAACTGCCGATTTCTTTAAGCTCCAAAATCTTAAAACAAAGACATAAATATCTTTGACATGCCACCAAAAGTACTGAAGGAAATCTCTGCGAGCAGTTTGTCTACTCACAGCGTGGGCATCCAGTTCGTTCTTGAGATCCTGGGGTTTTGGGAAGGTTGTATCTAGCACTCGGACGTAGCAGGCCCCGGCAGAAGGTACATGAACAACGGTGATGCCCTTTAAGATAAAAGTGGACATTGATTTTAGTTAAACAGAAAGTTTGTGACCTCAAGCACCTAAGTATGAATGATTGACATGATATAATATTTCAAAACAGAATTGTCTTTCCAAAATAATGAAACGACATCACATACAATTGATCGATGGAATTCAATGCGCCGTTGTTTGTAATCTACATTTTATTGTCTGTGATAAGAAAACGTCGAGCTAAGGAAAATAAAAAGCCATGAAGCATCATTTTGCGCGCCATGCTCAATTTCAATATTGATAATATTACATATTTAATATTCAAGTTTCTTTAAAAATGCCCACCTGCTTGAAATCGTTGACTGCAGTAAATTTTGGAACATCATTGTGTTTCACGCCGAAGAAAGTCTCAGTTTGTGTCTGCAGGTTCACCGCAATCTTCTCCTGAACGATATTACCTTTCTCGTGGAAACGAACAGCAAAGGTCTGGTAGAGAATATAAAAGCGAACGATAAAGAATAGTATATCGTAAAATAGGAATAACTTGTCTAAAATTCCCGTTTTGTTTAATTATTCAAATGTCAGTTTAAGCCTTATGATTTTAAACCTCTGAAAATAGATGTAACAGAAACAAAAATTTCAATAAGTTTGATGCATGTTATCGTTAGAAGCAGTAAGTACTTACTTTTGCTTGCTCTAGCGTGGTTCGTTGCTAAAATAGATAAATGAATAAATAAATAAATAAGGATCGAGAATGTCGGTTTAATGCACATTGATATAGCCGACATGTACTTGGGTTCACTCAGTACCAAATTGTGGGAATTGTGATAGTTACTAAATCTAAGACAAATAACTAAATATGTTATGAATATTTTTGAATTACCGGGTATCTAACGACATAAGCCACTGATCACTCTTAAATTACTCTAGAATGCTAGTTTAAAGA